GTATTCTAACTTGTCTTTGGAATATTTTTGCTCATATAGCGTTTTTTATTGCACTGTTTACCAGCTTACATCCAAAAATTATACACTTTTCACATTTTGTTCATTCCAAAATATTTTTGTTGTTCTAAAAGCTATATTTTCTTGAAAGAACATTTTATTGCGCTAACATTGGTATGCTGCAATGCATGCTGGAGTAATTTTGAACTGGCGAAAACGATCTTCCCGAGACATATGAAAAATAACCATTTTCGCGTGGTAACGAAAGAGCTAAACGAATGCACCTCGCTCAGCAGTACTCGCTTAGAACTGTCAATATGAGCAAGGTGTAAAGAATGGTCCAGTGCCGTCTTTCCTCCCGAAAATATTAAGAGTTCCTTGGTGTCAGGCACACAACCTAAACAAATACAGTGAAGCATAAAATGAACAAACTTCAAGGGTCCTTACGACGAGGTTCGTTAGCGTGAAAGTACGCTGAAATCAAATGGTCATGGTGCTACTTGTTATAAGGAGCGAAGGAGAACACCACTTGTTGACATGAAATTTGAAGTCATTTATTTGCTCTGTGGATGCCATTGCTTGATGCCAGCAATCGAATATAGACAATCATGACGCCGAAACTCCAAAAGCCTCTGCAACGTCGACTTGACGCTGCCTGGAGTACAGTTAGGCAAAACATTCACATTTTTTATCTTGGGACAGGCGCTTTCGATTGGCACTCATTATAACGAGCACGGGGTTGCAAGACTAAGGATGCACCTGGCACCACGGCTGTGGCTATGTTTGGTTTCGAAGACTAGTAGCCAGCCAATTCATTTCAGAGCTGAATGGATCTGACTGCTGATTTTGCTGACCCGTCTCTCCGGCTTTGGATGCTGGTGGTAGTCTATTCACCTTCACGCCCTTTCTCTATAACCATGCTTCATTCCTTTGTCTTCACTGTAATCCCCCTTTCTTCACATTATCCCACAACATTAAATCCCTCTTAATAAAATAACTAATGACAAGTCTAACCAATGAATCAACAAATCACTACGCTTACTACACAACATAAAAACGGCATTATGATAGCGCTAACTGCACTTGCGCACGCAAGCAGCTTGAGACAATCACAAAGCAAGTTTAAAACTTTACTGTTTTACCTTATCATTCGCTAAAAATACATGCTTTACTCGGGACTTACCATCACTTCTTAAATGTAATACGAAAAAAATCCAGCGCATTATAAGCCCGGATGATGACCACAACAGCATTTTTACAGTACAATAACAACACCCCTCTCCCAGATTCTCAGTCCACCTCTACTTTCAATTCATATTTTTTTATTTTCACCACAAAAGGTTGGTCAGAACTTTCAGCAGTACCGGCAATAAATTACCAATATATGCCAACTATAGAAGTAACCATTGAAGCTGTCGCACATCTACTAATAACCTCAAGCTAATCACATCCTGTGACATTGATGGCTTTAATTCACAAATACTCAAAAACATAGTCATAGTATCAGTTAAATCCTGACACACGTCTTCAGAATCTCATTAAAAAACAGGCATGCTACATTTAGACTGGAAGATATCTGAGGTTAAACCAATATTTAGGTCGAGTAACAAACACTCACCCATAAATTACCATCTAATAATATTTACATCCATCTGCTGCGAAATTCTAGAACATATCTTAGCAGCCAATGTTTACAGCCACCTTGAGGCTAAAAACATTTCCTTTACTAATCAACACACACTTCAAAGGAATTTCTCATGCTAAATTCCATTATTGGAATTAACCACCAATCTGGGTGCTAACGTGAACAAAGATATGTAAACTGATTGATTGTGCTTTCTTTAATGTCTCAAAAGCTGTTGATCTCGTTGCACATCGCCATTTATTTCTGAAATTATCAGTTATCCAACCAGACACTTTCACACAAACATTAAGTCAAAATTTCTTGTGCAATCGTCAAGTATTCAGAGTACTTAATAATCGTTTATCTCTTCTTACGTCACCTCTGGTGCACGACAGGAATGTGTTCTTGCGGCGTTACTTTTTCTAATATACGTTAACAATTTACTGCGTAATGTTTCCTCACACGTGCGCATTTTTGCAGATGACTGCATTCTTTACTGTCTCATTAAAACTAATGACGACCACCAAGCTCTCCAGAAAGACCTTGAACTTGTTTATTTTTAATGTGACACTTGGCTAATAAAGCTTAACGTTGCTAAATGTAAAATCATTGGTTTTAGCCGCAAGCATACTACATTTACCCTTTTGTACCATAAAATAACTCGACTATCTTGCATAACACAAGATATAAATTTCTTGGTGTTTATCTAACTTCTATAATACCCGTTCATGTTCAAGCTATATTGAATACAATTTGGCGAATGCTTCCAGATCACTGGGCTACATGCAGAGCAAGTTATATTGTTCTACTAGTGATATTCGTAAACTAGCATATCTAACATTTGTGCAACGTGAACTTGAGCACGCGTCATCTATTTGGTCTCGCCATCAAAAATGTATAATCAAAAAAGTCGAATCTGTACAGAATAGGGCGGAATGTTTCATTTCACCCTGTTACGACTTTAACAAAAGTATTACGCTAACAACTAAACTCGAGTTATCTCTTCATCCTTCGCATAATCGTCGGGATATCACTCTGCTAACATGCACTTAGCCCATAGCAGCACTCTCGTTCGTGAGCTGGTTCCTCGATTGAAGAGCCGCCTCCGCCTTTTCTTTCCGGTCTATGTTCGCGAACGTAGCCACCGCTTGTCGTCAAAATACCTCCCAGGTAGACAACGAGGTTTCATGGTTCTCAAACCATGTCTTTGCGAAGTCTTCCAGGGCGAAGTATTCGCGACGGAGCTTCTCTCTTTCGTCCCATCCATTCAAGCTCGCCACTCTCTCGAACAGGTCCAACCAATCTTCAACATCCTCGTACGAGTCGCCGTGGAATACTGGCGGCTGGTGCAGTTGGCTAATGAACACTTGTGCTGGTGTTACCGGGTAGTCATAGTGGCGGCATCCATCGTTTGAATTCCCCTTGGTGCGAAGTGAAGAGGACCGAACTCAGGTGAGTCACCTCGAAGACGGCGACTTGCCCTCTGGTGTACAGGAGTCACTTCCACGGGGTTGATACGCTGGTCGTCGGGGCTACGCTGTCTTGAGCTCACGGGGCTTCGATTCATAACCAAGCAACTCCCCCAGAAATGTAGCGATGCTGAGGCAGACAGGTTAAAAAACAAGCGTATTTATTAGGGCAAACTTGTGCCCACGATTCTAAAGACTATGGTCATCAAGTCCGAGTAGCCGAGTGGCACAGATCCAACTATCTTCCTCTTCCTCGTTACGCGTGGCGCATGCCAGCCGGGTCTTGCTTGTGCTTTTGCCACGATGATTGCGGCGGGCTACTTGAACGTGGCCAACCTGTCGTCGTGGGCTATATATAATATATATATATATATATATATATATATTATATATATATTATATATATATATATATATATATATATATATTATATATATATATATATATATATATATATATATATATATATATATATATATATGTATGTATGTATTTATATATATATATATATATATATATATATATATATATATATATATATTATTAACAACCTCATGTAGTTATTGTATAAAAAGTGTTTTTTGCCTGTCTTTGTCATAAAGAACATGATGCAATTACATTATATAATGCATTCCCACTTGTGTAACAATACTTTTTTAAGCTGCTCTCCTGTATTTTTTATCTTTTTGTACATTTTATGCGTTTAAAATGTTTCTTGTATTTCCTCCCTTAAACAAGACCTCCAAGGACCTGTAATATGTTTTAAAATAAACAAATAAATAAACAAATATACATCACTACCGCTGAAACTTTGTTTTACGTACCTATTTTCATTTCTCTAACTTCTCACCCTTACCTTCATCCCCTACCCTACCCTACAACATGCGATACAGTCGGGGTGAAGATGGGCACACTCTTTGTCACGTGGTATGAAGTGCCGTTATCAGCGCAAAATAAGGGCTACCGCGATAGCCACCTGTAGCGCACTGCTGTCAGAACTTATCGCGATGGCCAGAGTAACGCTATTTGCTACAGAAAGTGTGGTTGTATTGGTGAACTACATGACGTGGAATACATTGTATGGTGTTACAAAATATGTTTGCAGAAATTAAACGAACTCTCCGCTGTATCAGTTAATCTGAAGTGATTTAACATTGGATGCAATGGCGCTTCGGCGGGATGTTTCTAAAAAAGCTCGTAGATCTGAATGGTTCGTTTTACGTTCGTCTAAGTGGTATTTTAGTGTACTGCGAGCAAGTAACTACAGCAGGCTAGGCTTCCCATCCACAGAAGGGGTTTATTCTACTTGTCTGGACTAGTACCTGCAAGCAACGTTACTTTTGAACCTTACCTAATGTGGAGTTGAAGGTGCAAATAATTTTATGTCTTGATGCAACTTTTTTTCCGGTATCTTGCAGCGCATGCGAAATCCGCGAGATAACGTGCAAGCCCAGAAATTCCTCTCCAGTGTAATCATCGTCCACTAAAGGTAGCTCACTAGAAACCGACACTCCTCGCAACAGTACTATACATTCATATTTATACTAACAAGCAGCAAGCAAGTGTGAATAACAGCAAGTGCATGGCCAGATAGATGCAAATTGCTATGCGTGTTTTGTTTTTCTATAGTACAATTAGACATCGCGCTTTCATACTGAGATTGAAAACGAGGAAAGCCCTTAGTACTTTTTAGCCTTCACCTTTAATATGTCGCTTGTAAAATGCCTATTGAAGGGTGGTAACAAAAATATGTAAAACGACTGACTATTTTATAATCTTAATAGACATCAACCGTCCCATCATACTATACTGTTTACGTGGTTTACACACTGAGTAAGGAAAAAGAAGCGCGTGGTTCGTGAACAAAGTACGCGAAAAGTGCCAAATATCTGCGCGTAATTGTTGCTCACATTTGGGCAAGTTGTTGGACCAAGTGCCGTTGGCCTGGCAGACGCTGACAGACTCGCCGATGAGCACATAGCCCGCGTTGCACGTGTAGTGGACGCTGTCTCCCGGGTACTGGCGGCCTCCGTATAACACACGGCCGTGCGCCGGTGGTAGTGGACTTCGGCACCGAATCGCTGCGAAAATAAAAAACAGTCGCTGCATCACATGGCTACATGCCGAATCTGTACATGAGCCCCCTAGCCTTTGACAGAGGCCTAAGTGGTCCGTGTGGTGGGTAGAACTAATAATAATATTAAGAGTAATAATAATAATAATAATAATAACAGCTGAGGTGTACGTGCCCTAAGTAGGATATGATTATAGGGCTTGCCGAAGTGAAAGTGGGCACTCCGCAAATATCGGCCACCTGGTTTGTTTAACGCGTACAGATATCGCACAATAAATGTGTGGGCCTCTAGCATTTGGCCTCCATCGACATGTGACCGAGTGGCAGGAGTCAAACCTTTGACTTCAAGGGTGAGTCACAGTTCAAGTTACGCGCCTTTGCTTCATCGGGGGCAGTATAGCGTAGTGCATTCATTAATGCAACACAGTGAATGCTAAACGATAGCATTTACAGATGGTGCACCCCCCTCTACCCGAAACAAGCTGGCAACTGTTCTGGTTACTCACGATTCGCCATTGAGCAGGGCAGAGCACAGAACGAGCAGCTCGCGCTCTTTCTCCCTCGATAACATGCGTCAGAATTTGCATTTACCAAGTGCAGCGATTTACTCAGCCTTGAACTGTCATCGCAACAGTGAGAATTGTAATTCTACAGCATTGTTGGTATTCACATAAATAGAGTAGACTTGTAATGCTATGAGCCCCGCTGCGGTGGTCTAGTGGCTAAGGTACTCGGCTGCTGACCCGCAGGTCACGGGATCAAATCCCGGCTGCGGCGGCTGCGTTTCTGATGGAGGCGGAAATGTTGTAAGCCTGTGTGCTCAGATTCGGGTGCACGTTAAAGAACCCCAGGTGGTCGAAATTTCCGGAGCCCTCCACTACGGCGTCTCTCATAATGTTATGGTGGTTTTGGGACGCTCATGCAAACGTTGCTATATACTAACTCGTTCCAAGATACTTTGAAACTCTCACGCAAAGAAATCTCAGTCTGGTGTTGCCTAACAATCATTACTGCGTTGATCACACTTAGGCATATTCTTTACGGGCACATATTTATTTCTGCTTGAAGTAGAAATCATTGCAATTAGCAACATCTGTGACGACACGGAGCGAGCTGACTGCTTTAAAACACCTGTGAAGTGGTAAAAGTCTTAAGAACTTAGTCCATTGCGATGCTTACAGAACTTTTGACGTTAAATTTTTCAGAAAAAAAACAATGCGGGCATACCTCATTGTTGTAAAAAATGTAAAATGTTTTTGTACGTTTGAAATGTACAAAAACATCCTACATCCGGTGTTTTTTCCTTATTGCTCACCAATCAACCATTCATGAATAACTGAATTAAGGAGTCTTCAGCCTTTGTGTCTATGCGCGTGTGCTCTAAACTTTTATTTTCGCCGGTTTGTGTTATTATTGCTTTTTTCTCCGCTTTCCCAGTATGATGAAATTAACCACGTTCAAGAACATATAGTATCTCCCCGTACGTACCTCTTGAGCATGCAGATAATAATATAAACTGCTTGTTTACCGGATAGATTTGTCAAATTTTCTGTGTCATTTCTATGGCTTTCAAAACGCATAAACACATGCATTACACCACGTTGAAACGTAGGCAAAATGATTTCGACGTATGCGTTGTGCAACGTCACTGCATATCGAAAAAAAGAGACACATATCTGGATCTTACACTGCAAATGTCGTCGAAAGACGATAGTTTTGCGTCTAGAGAGAGTGAACAAAACTTTTATTCAATGTCCTGCGCGAGAAAATTCGTGAATTGTATTCTAGAAGTGCTGCGTTAGAGAATCTCGATCTGTGCAGCGAAAGCAAATGAGTGCATCGAGGCACGTTAACACCAGCGCTATCTGGCAGTTACCTTCGAGAACAAAAGGAGGTGGGCGGGCTTGTCTCAGAAGCGATAAGGAGTACAACGCAAAGCGACAGACAGAGGCCATCACCATTTCGTCTTAGCAAAGCGTTGGAAACACTTGCTTTCATGAGCATCGCTTTGCATTGTCAGCGCAGCGTGATCAGCGCTACGGTCCTCAGAATTACTTATGCATGCCTTCCCTAGTATAAAGACACACATACAAAATATTGACGTGTTGTTATGGTGCCTCAGATATGTGCAATAATATCTTTTTCCCTGATGATCGCACAGTTATGAACGCTGAAACTTTAGCAATATTTGTGGGTGCTGTGGATGGGATTGGCCGTTTGAAGTATCGTTTGAAGCCGTTTGGAGTATCGTTACGACGGACAAACAGACAAATGTACAAACAGACAGAAAGACAAACCAAAAGTTTTGCGTCGAAGTACCCCAAGAAAGATTATCGTCTTTAAAAAAGCCCCAGGTGGACTAAACCATCTGGAGTTCCTTTTACGATGGCTTCTTAGCCCCAAGTGGCATTAGGACGTTAAGCCCCCAAACCAACCAACTGTGTTGAACACACCGCTGACATAAAAGCAACCACCCAATCGTGCGACCAGCAAGCTGCCACTCGCTCCCTGCACTCTTTTGTGGTAGAGCACAATGACAAATGCCCAATGTTCGGTAGCTTGCTACTTATAGAGAAAGAGGTGAACAAAAGGCTTTGAACTGTCATACAGACAACGCTGAATACTTTTCAGCTAATCCAAGCAGACTACCGATGCATCCCGCCGAACAATTGTTTCTCCTGTTCACTCTCCTAAAAGCCGGCTTAATAGAAAGAAGTCCATTTCTTCGAATTCTCTTTCATATTGTGATCTTTAGTGAATCACCTACTGGTCTCAGTGCACGTGTGTGTTTGTGTGTGCGTTAAGGAAGGAGGGGCTATATTCGAGTATCTCCACAGACGGTACATACATCGTATGCACGTACAGTCGTCAGCAAGTTTAACATGAACGCTGCACAGCCCGTCCTGAAACAGTTTGGTTGAAGTTAACACTACGTAACGTTGAGCTTTGTTGACGAAATGTTCCACATGGACTAGCGCTTCACGGCTGGCATCAATCAAAGTAGGCCAGGTCACGCATCGCAGCGTTTGCGTTAAGCTTGCGGACGACGGTATGTATGTATGTATGTATGTATGTATGTATGTATGTATGTATGTATGTATGTATGTATGTATGTATGTATGTATGTATGTATGTATGTATGTATGTATGTATGTATGTATGTATGTATGTATGTATGTATGTATGTATGTATGTATGTATGTATGTATGTATGCACGCACGCACGCACGCACGCATGTATGCATGTAGGTATGTATGTACAGTGCCGACCACTCTTAGTGCGAGCACGGCACAGCGTGGCCGTGCTCCGCGGCGCGCCAGCACACATGGTGCGGCTGCGCATCGAAGCTAATCGGCGCAGGCGCACAGGCATTGCCTGATCTCTTAGGATGAGCTCGAGTGCCGTGCTTGGTTTGCTAGAAAGCACGCCCAACTATCAGCATGCCAGTAGCGATCAAGCACTCCCTAAAGGTATGGCGGGAAAGTGCGCTTCGCTTGTTGTGCAGTTTGCGCAGAAAGTTGTGTAGTTGATGATCAAATAAGGAGTCGCAAACACGCAGGCCGGTTGCGGCTAGTGGCTTCACCAAGAATACAATATTTTGGGTATTGGTAAACGTCACTCGCAATAATTACTTGGCTTTTGCGATTAAGTACTCTTGCTTGTGTTAAGCTAAACAGACAAAAACCCATGCCACTCTACGTTCTGCTCCTGAAATGTCCGAAAAAAATACTCACAGGGATCCTTGTACATTCACCGAAAGTGCTTCGACGGTGAAACGTTTTTTTTTTCATCAATGTACAAATCCCTCCTCTCTCTGACAGCTTTCTGCACTTAACGTGATACAATTAAAATGATTTCGCACTGCCTCTGGGGTCGGCCCACTCTTGACTAAGTGACAATGTCATGCTAAGACATCATGTAGCGTAATCATAGCGTCACTATATGACATCAAAGTGACGCCATAATGAAGTCACAAGCTTTAGTGATCTGTCACGTTTTGGCAACATCATTGCGTAATTATAAGTTTTAGCGTCACTCGTGTTCACGCCACTGACGCCGAAGGTCAATTTTAGCGTTTTATGACGCATCGAAGGCTTTCGTCCTAATAAAGCAGACGCTAGGAAGAATGAGCGAATGCTTTATTAGAAAATAAAAATTACTTGGGCCAGATGGTTAGCAAGTGAACTGAAGCAAAAAGCGAAAACAATTGTGAAAGGCTTTTAGGAACGACTTAGCTGAATGAGCGTTTGTTGGCGAGTGGTCCAGTATTGTTGTGCGTGACATGATGCATTCAATTCCTGTGTTGTGGACTTATTGTAAAGAGCAGCGTATTCGTGCTTACCATCCTTGCTCGTATGTAACCTCTCAGCCAAGATGTAAAAAAAAATCACAGCACATCCACGGTGTGAATGATGATGAGTGGGGCGAAGCGTCCGTGAGCCCGTACATGCTTCCGTCCGTCCGTTCGTTCTTGCTACCGTCTGTCCGCGCGACCGTCCATGCGTCCCTCCATGCGTCCGTCCATGTGTTCGTGCGTCTGTCTGTGAGTCCGTCCATCCATCTGTCTGTCTGACTGTTCGTGTGCCCATCCTTCCGTACGTTCGCGCGTCTATCGATCCGTCCGTTCGTCCGTCTGCTAGTCTGTCTGTCCGCCCGTCTGTGCGTCCAGCTAATGAACACTCCAAGTACCGCCATCTCCCATCTCACATCCCACCGGTGGCACATACCCGCTCTAGAGTGGGTATGTGCCATTGGTGGCTACGTACTACTACATAGATACAAGGGATAGACAGACCCACGCCTTGAAGAGCTTCGCCCCTAAAAACACAATACATAGTGCATCTAAGCAGCTGCGTGTACAGACATGAGGCGTTAACGAGCTATTCTTTGCGATATAATTGTCTTTATTGTGATTCCGTTTGTTCCCAGTTTTTCAAATAATATTTAACAAGTACCACTTTGGCTTGTCAGCTATCATACGTGATTGCTTCTCCCGAAGCCATTTTCACCAATCTTTCACAATGAGTATATTTTTTTACTTTAATCATTTACGCTTACGAAATACCCATTCACTCCCGTCCTGAAAAAAGCGAAGAGATTTTGCGATCAAATGTATTTGGGAGATACCATGGAAAGTGAGATGATAGGCAAATAAAAGCAATGACACAAGGACTAACTCAGTATCTTGTCATGTCAATAAATCAGAAAAGTATTTATTTATGAATAAATTTACAATACGTACAGCCGTTTAAACTGAAGGCCTTGTAAGACTTGCTGCATCTGAAATCCCCGCTTATATGAGGAATTCCACAATAAGTTACTTCCTTTCTCCATTCATCCAACATCCTACCCCTCCAGCCACTTCTACATTCTGTCTTATGCGACGCACGGACACGCCAGGCTAAAAGGCCATATCAAGTGTCTTTCATTCATTCATTTATTTATTTATTTTACTCACTTCACTTTTCATTTCACGCTAACCTCTGCGCAAGGGAGAAGCCTTAAATCAATCAGCGAGAATCAATTTCCTGGCAACTAGAGTGCCCGTTCCGCATAAATTTTAAAAGCTAGAATTTTTCCGCCGCATGAGCGGAACACGCGAATTTTATTAAAGGAGACACTGTCATGCATATTTCTTTCCTCGCCGATCGAGCGCGCTGCTCCTCACACCCTGTGCGGCGTTCTGTCGTGACGACCAAGGCTTGCGAAGGCTGCATCATCGTCATTGCACGCAGAATTGACGACAGTAAGAATGCCCCGAGGGACCAGCACAATATCCAAGTTTTCGAGTGTAAATCGTCTGTCGCGCGCGTCGCAAGGTGTATGTCACATCCTCTTTTCCATTCCTTTCGTTCTTTGAGAGACAGCTTCCTTTACGTGACAAAAGGAAACACGCTTTAGCGTTCACTTCATACAGCTATATCACTGAAGGAATATACAATTCGCGAAATCATTCTTGACTTCTTCTCGACAGACTTCACAGGTTACATCTCTCATATACCTTTCTATAATACCCGTGCTTAAAGACCACGTTTCTGTTCGACTGAAGGCCACCCAAGGTACTCTACAACCATTTGAAATTGTGGATCTTGAAATTTTAAAACGCATTTTTTCTTAGAATCTTATCAGGATCCCTACACTGCATCTGTTGAATATACACGCAAAGGTTTGCATCGATACTTCTCGCTTTCCTGCTCCCGAGGACCCTTTGCATATCTGGAAGCATCCGCAAGTTTTAAAAATATCTCATGCACCCGTCCAGTGCAATCGTATTCTTTTTAGAGTGTTTTTTTTTCAAAACATTAATGCAAGAACATATAGAACAGCGCGGGAAGAGGTGAGATCAGCAGTAGCGCACGCCCGCAAGTGCACAAAAAATTACCAAGTGCGAGCGTCGTCTGGCCAGCTCACTTCATATAGTGCCCGCAACCTGCCACCCATGCCACCCTTCAGTTCACACTTTTATATCTCGTATCGCCCATGCAAACATGTTCATTACCTGACGTTTTTATTTTATTTATTTCCGTATACGTGGCTACAATAATACAAAAGAGCAACGAAAGAACAGAAAGGCGCTGTAGCTGAAGATGACATATGTTTGGCACCCCTTCTACTTCGAGCAATGTTTTTGTTTTCTTTCTTCTCTTTAAATATGGCCATACAAATATGCTTAACATTGCGTTTGCCCTCCTCGTATGACCAACGTAGCAAATGACGATGATAGCGGATTCTGTATAGCGCAAATGCAGGTACTTTAGTCGATCTCGCACAGTTTTATCTCCTTTTCTCTCTCTATCTACCTCTTTGTTGTTGTTGTTGTTGTTGTTGCTGCTGCTGACAAACCTGGAGAAGGCACATGACGGTTTGTATAGGCAGGTTCCTGCGCTTCCCCTTTGTTTCAGACCTTCTTCGTATGAAAGTAAGAGGTGGGTAGAGGAGTGGCTAGAATGTCCGGATGAAGCTTTCAGTAGTTAGGTCATGACAGGTTCTTAAATGCGAAGCATTTTTCTGCGTGCTGCAAGCACATTTAGCATCCATCCATCCATCCATCCATTCACCCATCCATCCATCCATCCATCCATCCATCCATCCATCCATCCATCCATCCATCCATCCATCCATCCATCCATCCATCCATCCATCCATCCATCCATCCATCCATACGTCCATCCATCCATCCATCCATCTGTCCATCCGTCTGTCCATTCGTCTATCTATCTATCTATCTATCTATCTATCTATCTATCTATCTATCTATCTATCTATCTATCTATCTATCTATCTATCTATCTATCTATCTATCTATCTATCTATCTATCTATCTATCTATCTATCTATCTATCTATCTATCTATCTATCTGTCTGTCTGTCTGTCTGTCTGTCTGTCTGTCTGTCTGTCTATCTATCTATCTATCTATCTATCTATCTATCTATCTATCTATCTATCTGTCTGTCTGTCTGTCTGTCTGTCTGTCTGTCTGTCTGTCTGTCTGTCTGTCTGTCTATCTGTCTGTCTGTCTGTCTGTCTGTCTGTAAACCAAATTAGTATGGAAGGGTACGATGGTTTGATGAATATGACTCGCTGGTCATTAGATCAACACTGTGCCAATCACGTCGCGTACATCGTAAGAACTTTCCCGCCAGACACGTCTGGCACATACCCGTATACCACGGACAGATATGTGTCGCAGTATTGCCAGTATGTGCCACATATAACTGACAGTTTATATCTACACAGGAATGGCTAGAATAGGCATTGGTTATTTTAACGCGAGAGCATTAATAAATAGCTACCATTGGCAACATAGACCCGACTAATGCAAAAGATAATTCATGATTCCCAGTTTGAATCAAACCCACACATTCTGCGTTGCAATCAATTATTCAACAACACGGCCATGCGAGCTCTCAGAACGCTTTTCAAGTAGACCCTAATGTTCATGAAACGTTCATTGTGGTTGCAGTGTTGGCTGTTCAATTTTGAAAATATTACATACGTGCTCCTATAATACAGCCGTCACGTCGGACAAACGTCAATTGTAGTTAAGCGCCATCCGCAGAAGTTGCTTTATTCAGCAGTGTCCGGGACTGTCATCCTTATGAGCATAAGCGCTACATATCAGCTTACCATTTCTGGTGTTGGTAAAACCCATGTTGCTTTTAGTATCGGTACGCAACTGCAAACAACTGGTTATATAAAATATATGCGATTTTACAATATAAACATGTGCATAAAACATTTCTACATATTTTAGGGTCGTTTCGAAAGCTTTCGCTCACTAAAAAAGTAACAACACAGTTACAATCCCTCCACATGCACCACATAACATTGATTCTTCAGGTACGTGGGATCCCGAATACTATACTGCATTACTTAACACATTGCAACACATGCAGAAAAAATGATACACAACCTGGGATAATAGCTCAAAGCCAGTCACGAATTGTCTTTTTTTTTTGAAAGAAATTATAATACGAAGTACATTAGTCCACTTGAGAATTTGTCTGTTGCAGTCATACGTTTCTTACATAAACGGCTCACCCCAACAAACTTATCACATGCAGTACTTTCTGCATTGGCGTATTGCCTAATGTGCGTGATACAGTCGACGACCAGTCGAGTAAACACGTATATGACCGTATATGACCAGGCGCATAAGCGCATAAAGTGACAGAGAGGAAGAAGTAGAGAGAAAGAGCAGAGTACAAACATGACCGCCTTGCTTACGTTCACAGGTGGGCGGCGTGTCGGACCAGGACTCGTTCTTCCAGCAGGTGACGAACGGCGGCCCTAGAAGCCTGTAGTTTGACGGGCAGCTGAAGTGCACGCGGATGCCGTAGGTTCTGTTGTGCGTGCTCATCTTGAGATGACCTGTGGCGGGGATCGCTGGACACTGGATCACTGCGCAGCAAGTAGATCGCTGTGTAGTATAACTTTCTGGCGACCCAACGAAGACCGCCGCTAAGCTGGTATACTGTGCGCAGGTGCCTCAAAAGGGCCCTGAAACACTGTTTCAAGTAACCATGAAATTGAATCACTGGAAGATCTGATTGCCTCAGAAACTCAACAGCGCGAAAATTTTAAGATTCCGTAAAGAAGCAATCGTGGTAATATCAGTAATAAAGCTTTTATAGCAGCGAAAAAACAACCAGACGTCACACAATGCGAAAAGCGTAACGAGTGTGTCGTCCAATGCTCCAACCCATTACAAAAGCTTGTTCTTGATCACCTAATAACTGTGGCGCACACCCACTTCAAACTTAATTCCTCAGCGTCGTCAGCCACTGCATAGGAACAATTGGCACAGAATTCCTTGCATGTGTTTCACGAAACCACACTTCTCAGAAGAATGCTGAAGGATAGCATAGCGAATGCCGGCCTACCACCCCAAAATTATTATTATTTTGCCGCAGTGGGTACCAAGCAAGTGTGCTTGCAGCAGTTACCCAAGGATAGAGTGTTTAAAAAAGGCTCTCAAAGGCCGCTCTTGTGGCTTTTGCTGTGACTGTGCTCAGGCCTGGCTTTTCTCTGCCTCACAAATTCACTGCCAAAAATATTTTTAGAATCCGTTCCGCACGAGCGGTGTAGCAAAGATTTGTCACACGCAATCTCTCTTATCTGGTCACGACGAAAGTGCTCGAATCTAAGCGGGGGGCAGGGGGCGCCACAGAGTAATAAAATATGTCACACGGCCCTTGTGACCTTGAGCACTTTTTCTGACTTTTTTTTTCTTAAAATACGCGGTGTTTCAGTGCATTTGCGAACACGCGCGTGGACAAGTCGTGGCCTTCCACGGCGGCCTGAATAACGACCTAGCGCGCCATACTAAAATCAACCAAGAATAACGCAGCTCGGCGTCAAGAGCGGACGCACGTTTCGTTCGCTCGCTCCGTCTTCGAGAATCTATTTCGCGGCAATTACTAGGGCTAGACCCCAGCCAACGCCATCGGATTTATCCAGCCCAGGGCTCTTATCAGACGCTCATACCAACCAGGTGGGACCTTTCGCACACCAGATATCTAGCGGAAATCGGGACTGTAACGGCGGACGTTCACTGAGCTGTTGGCCTAATTAAGTGGCGCAGCAGCCACAACGCAGCCGGCATGGCAGTCACCTCAGCAACTGCTCTCTTACACCCGGACACCGTGCAATTCCTTCAAAACAGCACCCCAAGCACTTCAACCTTCATTTCCTTTACAAATTGGGTTATCCAAGGCATCAACACGCGCAGGAGCGTGACCACAGAAGAAACAGCACCAATCCAAGGTAGCGGCAAAGATCAAGAGTGGACTACGGTCACTAAACACAACAATACACGATTGACCAATACAAACCAAGAGGAGACCTGGCACCCACGTTATGTACCTCGACCCAACCAGCACGAATTCATCGCCGTAATCATACCCAAAGTTTCGTGTCACCTAGCACAGTACAAAGGCCAGTGCATCTTCGCTGAGGCGATACACACGGTGCTCCTTGAAACGACAGGAGCAACAGACACGCAGACTGATTTCACCCAATACGGCATCAACCCTATCTGGGATCATACTATCAGTGTGAATAACACTCCACACGAGGATTTCATTACGCGGGATTCTCAAGATTACACCTGTGGTCTTGTTAAAGAACCCCAGGTGGTCAAAATTTCTGGAGCCCTCCACTACGGCGTCTCTCATATTTATATTGTGGTTTTGAGACGTTAAACCCCACAAATCAACCAAATCATTACACCTGTGGTCTTTCCAGACAAGCCAGTTCCAGTTCACTGTTGCCTGAAGGCCACCGACAAAATAGGTAGGGGCGTCATGAGAATCGCCAATCACATCTCAAAGGACTACGTAGTGCAACGCACCGGATACCCTGACAACCAAGTCATTGGGGCAAGGCACCTCGGCACAACCAACGTAGTGGTACTTACCATAGAACACGCGGCAATCCCAAGAACCATGCTCATCTTCGGTGAAAACAAGCCTGTTCAGAAATATCGCAATACAGTCCCCACTTGCTCTCTCTGAGGTGTCATCGGACATCGAAACGGCGTTTGTCCTAACCCGTTAGCCTACCAAACAGATGTCCGCGTCGCGGGAAAGCTGGCATGAACCTTTCGGACCACGAGTGCCCGTCTGGGTGCCTTCCGTGCAACGGACCACACCCGACTGGAGCACAGGAGTGCCCTAAACGCTTCCAGCCAGCCAGAAGCGGCCCAAGCTGCAACAATGAAGGAAGTCCCTCCACCACACCCACGCAAAAAAGTCTAAATCAACGATAGTCTCGATATCGACAACGTGGAGCCAAGAAGAACGCTGAACACGAGAACCGTCAAGGACTATCCCCGGGGCCGAACTAGGATTCTAGAGCTGCGTCTCCGGCAGCCACTACTGGGAAACACCGAAGCCGCAGCCACAACCGTGGCCCAAAGCAAGCCAGCAAAAAACCCCAGGTAGGTTGCGCAGAGGTTGTAGCTTCCACTCCACACACTGACCAGGATCACAAACAAACCGTAACTCAACTACAAAAACCATCTCCTCACAGCAATTACTCCTCGAAAAACAGCAGAGAAAAATTGAACAGCTCGAGAAAGCAATGAAAACTAGAACACTTAGCCCCACACCTAAGAGCTCAAAAGAAATCCGCGTTACGTAGCCTAACCTCGTGCAAACCGAAACATCAGGGCTTCATAAAACAAACGGCCTTATACCGACCCGCTGCCTATTGCTACAGCCAACTCTTCTCAGGTCGACCAGATTGCCAACCTCGTCATCAGAACACTCATGCCGCTGATACAGAAATAAAATGAAGAAATACAGGCTATCAAAGAGCTCCAACTTCTCTTTAACAGATGAAAGAACAAGGCCTAATTCTGGTCAAGGAAGCAGTGCAACTCAAACTACTTGAACTTGATGCGTCAATCACGAAATATCAGCGTAACTCGTCCCATTTGGACATTAGCAATGCCCGGCTACCGATCAAACAACTCACAGGCCGCAAAAATACATCAAACAGTGCATATGACGTAGGTGATACCAACAAATCTTCCTCATCCTTGTCTACATCGTTGACATCTTTCTCCAACCTGACTGCATAATGAAAATGAATCCAGCTCTCCAAATCATACAGTGAAACTGCAGAAGCCTTCGCGACAAAGCATCATCACTACAACAATACATCGATTTATTGCCCAGAGCACCGGATATCCTAGCACTGCAAGAAAAAGCAGTCACATATGCCAGAATACCTACATATACCACGCAGAACAACGAGCATAATACATCAGTCTGCACGCTGGTACATAATACATGCACTGCAATCACTGTCTACCTAAAACCTCAGGACACCAGCCTACACTATATCTTCATCCAGCACCTTCCCAATAAGAGATAACAACCGTTGGTATATGTTTTCAATGCATACAGCAGACCCAAAACCATGAAACAATCTTTCCGAGACATCATAAGGAAAGCCAAAACTGCATCTCAACGGAACCCACTACTCATTATAGGAGATCTTAACGCCCACCATCTCGCGTGGGGATATCACAAGGAGGATCAAAAAGGCAGGAAGTGATATAACGACATCAACCAGGAGCAACTCACCCTTCACCCGGAACCAAGCTACCCGACTCGCATTGGCAACAGCGTTACTCGGCAGACCTGCCCGGACTTGACGTTAGGCCATAACCTCCCGAGAACACAATGAGGGAATTCACAAGAAGACATCGGGAGTAACCACTACATCCTTCACATCTCCAATGAATACAGGAAGCATAAAAGAAACCTCAAATCCGCGAATTTAGCGGACTGGAATATCTTTAGAAAATTGGAGAACTTTTCATTCTAAAACACTCTCAGCTCGTACTCCGGATAGGTGACCGCGATACTAGGTCTGAAAACAAAATTGACCCGAACAATTCAAATGACACCAGAAACTCCGGCTGTCGAACCACACTTACTGCATTTGTGGGAAGCACGACGGCAACTCAGTAGGTGGTGGAAGCGGCAAAAACATGACCGCAAACTTAGGAATGGCATCGTCACCATAACAAACGCAGCAGAGCAGTATGCTGCACACTTTGCTAAAGAAAATTGGTTCAACAAGTGCGACTCTCTGACGGGTACGCTGCATACGAAGGCCACATCGCACATTTTGCGTCACCTGATTAGACCGAGAATCTACCAGAGATGCGACTCGCTGATCTCTTAACCAAGTGGTTCACAGCTTTCAAAGCACAAACGACGACCTACTTCAGGTTCTTGCATCTAAATACGTTAATACGTCAGTAGTCCTTTCCCCATATCCAGCTTACCATGGACCCGATAACCCAAGCCTGTCAAAAGAGTTCTCACTTGAAGAAATCAACACAGCCATTCGCTGTATGCGGAAAGGCGCGGCGCCAGGTGCTGACCAAGTGTCACAAAAATCTGCTAGCTGATCTCAGTCATAATATGACCCAACTCTTCACAGATCAAATCAATCGGCACTGGAAAACAGGCACTCTACCAACAGAATAGAAAACAGCAGACCTGATTTTCCTACACAAGCTAGGCAAACCTGTTAAAATAGACCGTTTACGTTCTATATTCCTTACGTCATGCACCGGCAAAGCCATGGAGAAAGCCATAGAGCTTTGCTTAACAGAATACACAGAGAAACAGCACATCTTTCATGGCACCATGTTTGGTTTTCGACAGCATCTTTTGGATGAAGACGTTATTTTACAGCTAAAACATGAGATAATCGACCTAATCACCCCAGCTGCCCCACGACAAGAAAGGGCCATCCTACCAATAGATTTTAAAAAGGTCTTCGATAAAGTAAGGCACCACAGCATTAAGACAAACTTGATCGAACTTGACTGTGGAGGAAGAATATGTGCATACGTCAATGCTTTCTTAGAAGACGAACGGCCACAATACACATGGGTGATCTATGTTCTCAACCTGTCACTATAGGTAACTGTGGCTCCGGCCATGGTGGTCTAGTGGCTAAGGTACTCGGCGGCTGACCCGCAGGTCGCGGGATTGAATCGCGGCTGCGGTAGCTGCATTTTCAATGAAGACGAAAATGCTGTTGGCACGTGTGCTAAGATTTGGCTGCATGTTAAAAAAACCCAGGTTGTCAGAATTTCCGGAGCCCTCCACTACGGCGTCTCTCATAATCATACGGAGGTTTTGGAACGTTAAACCACACATATAAATATCATCAGTAACCGCGGCATCCCCCAAGGCGCAGTGATATCCCACTTTTATTTAATACTGTACTCCATAAACTACCACATGCTTTGCAACAAATTCCGGGAATCCACCATACCCTGTACGCAGATGAAATGACCATATGGTTTAAGGGGTGACTACAACTCCTAGAGAGCAACCTCAAAAAAGCAGCCTCGACAATCCAGTCTATCGGTAACGCTGCCGGCCTTGAGTGCTCCCCCTCTAAGTCAGAGGTCCTCTTTTTCCGGCATAGATATTCAAAAGCCACACCTCTCAAGACCAAACTAAAAAACACTTACGTTGAAAAAGTCGGAGTCTCCCGAATCCTAAAAGCGTACTTAAACAAGGGAAACAAAGTGATACAACTAGAGAAAATTAGAAACAGGTGCCTCCAAATCCCACGCATGATTACCCGGATGGCCAACAAGCACAGAGAGCTGAAGGAACACGAACTTTTGCGCCTTTTTCAAGCTTTTGTGGTCAGCCAGGTAAACTACAACTATTCTTACCTCCGAATAACCAAGACATATGAACAAAAGATTGACACCATACTGCGCGATACACTTGAGAGGGCACTCAACGTTCCTCCATGGACATCCACAAAACGACTTCAAGAACTAGGAATTTATAACACCGCAGCACAGTTATTCAAAGCCCACATCGGCAATTAAATATTCAGACTGTATATAACCCTCTCCAGAGCTGGTATGATGGTGCTTGTTAAACTGAACAAAACACCACCAATGCATGTCAAGAAAAAACACAGGCTGCCAGAGGCTTGGCGGAAAGGCATCATTATCAAGCTTTTTCCTCGGAATATAAACCCCACATTCCATGCATACAAGCGCGAAGCCAGAGCCAGAGCCCATGATAAATACTTCGACGACGATAGCGTCTTTTTCGTGGATGCCGCCCGGTCACACCCAGGAAAACACACGGTGACAGTAGTGAACCAAAGGCAATGTGTTGACCGCATATCTACTATACAGAACGATGTTACCAGCATCGCGGAGGTCGCTATCACTCTCGCGCTCAGAAACCCAGCGTCCACCTTCGTCCTTACGGACTCAATGGCAGCCTATCGTAACTAACTTAAGACAAAATCAGTCCTCTAGCATGCAGAATACTTTCACAAGCAGGAGGCGGCCGTCCTGAGGCAGACTGTAAACAAGTTATATGGATACCTTACCACTGTGGAGTCCGAGGCAACGAGCTAGCTCATGCCTCTACCCGAGCTATCTTATCTCGGGACTCTAATTTCAGTGCAGGGACACCAGCCCTTCCAGATCAGACGACTCACCTGACCACATACACTGAAGTATTGCAAAACCAAAGGCATGCTCAGAGAATATATTCCCCATCGTACCGTTAACTCAGTAAAGCAGCACAGGTAGCCTGGCATGGCTTACAAACGTTATCATATCCCAACCCACACGTACTCTCTAAAATCGGTTTTGGCAAGTACCCCTCACCCACATGCACGCTATGCAACACTAATCTAGCGACACTCTACCATATAGCATGGGAGTGCCAAAGCAACACATCTAAAGCAGGTGTCTCTAAGGATTTCCGTAGAGATAGGTTGGAGGCAGCCCTGTCCAGCCCAGACCGGTGGGTCGTAGAGGCCCTTGTGGCCCACTAAAGGGCTCCTCTCATTCTTCAATAGAATTAATGAAGTTTTTCATCATCATCAAATCAACCAATGGCTGATACAAAGATTGTGAAGAGTGCTTTTGAGCTTGTATTGTTGCTTGTTCAGAGAAGGGAAATCAATATATCGCTCGGTTTAAGAATTTCTTGGGAAATATAGGCCACGTGGTGCGCTATAATATTTGGTTCAAGTTTACTCGAGAGCCTCGGCTACCAATTGGCAGCGTTTTCTGACCATGCTCAAAAAGTGTTGCAGAGCTCCTTTCAGATACATGTACAACTCGAACAACACTATCTACTTATACCTATTTCTGGTACATGGAACACGTGACTAATCATTTCAAGAGGCAAGTGATCAAATGAGCTCCGAGAGTTGTTGAGCAAGTTGAGTCACCGTATGATTGAGATCTTGGTGATCCACGAGAACACAACAGTAACTTAAGCTTTTAGCTACCTAAGAAGGATCGGCGCAAACTGTAAGGTAATAACGTTTTCAATACTTATTCGTGATTGATTTTCGACTGTCATAGGCTTCACTACCAGCCGTAATGTTTTAAATTTGCTTAACGTCTAAAACACCATGTGAATGAGAAAATTTTCGAGCAAATGTAACAAAAAAAGTTTGAACGAGCCAGAAAGAGGCTATTTTGATGCGGGTGTACACCGACACCCGCATCAAAACAGTGAACCCGTGCCAGAGTTTTCACCTGCACTCTGGAATCACTAGACAACAATCATGCGGCCTTTAGATGTGTGTTAAAGCTTTTCTTACATGGCCTTTATAATAAATTTCACTTTAAAGAATTATTGCTACAAAGATAATATCTGGGGCTTGACGCCCGAAAACCACAATATGATATGAGAGAGACTATGAAGGAGGGCTCCGGAAATTGCGACCATCTGGTGTTCTTTAACTTGCACTGACACCAATAAAGTAAAGAAGAAGAAGAAAAAAACATGTCGTGGTCTTTTTAGAGGCCGACCTCTGAAAGAAATCAAAACAATTTCTAAACAACGTTGGAGCTGTACTTCACGCGTCAATTTTTTCACTGACTTCATAAAATTATATTTTTCAACCTGAAGATGCATCAGCACTGCATATGCGGATACAACTGCAAAATACGTTCCACACGGTTCAGCGCTTTCTATCTTCTGACAAGCGCAAACTTTCGGACCCGTGTTCGCAAAGCCATCTCACGCGAAAATTTTCGTGAGAAAATAACTCAGCAAATAACAATGCGGCACATATTATCATTGAAGACGGCTGGCCAATGGTAAAACATGCGTAGAAAAGACAATTTTTTTTGGGAGCTCGGCTTCAGTTTTCTGAGCAAGAACGTAAAGTATAGTTACCATAACCACTTCAGATCAATGTCTAAAACGATCAGAAGCACATGCAACGCGTATATACTCTTAACAATTTTCAAGGGTCACGTGCTTGAGGCCACACATCAAACAATCGAGTATCCATAAAAACAAGGAAGCAATTTTCGGGAGACGTGTCAGTACCACAATATGATTATGAAGAATACCATCGCCGCAGGACTCCGAATCAATTGTGACCACTTAGAGTTATTTAACGTGCGTCTAAAACAGGGACTGAATTGCTGTACTTCGGCCCAAACGAAATGCTACCATCGCCACCGGGAATGAATCCTTCAATCGAGGCAGCGCTACACCGTAGCAGCCAACCTACCGCTGCTAGTATTGCAGCAACATTCTGTGATCATACAAATGATGCTGCACGAAACCATAGGAGACGCTACGAGGTAGAATAGCGTTTGAGAAGCATTGGGTTGGCACCTACCTACGCAGTGCGGGGCCTTGTCGGACCAGCGACCGGAGGGGCTACAGACGACCTCCTCGGAGCCAACCAGGTTGTATCCCTCCATGCAGGCGAACTTGGCCTTACTGTGCATCTGGTTGCCATGATCACTGGTCACGCGGTTCTCATCGCCGTAGCCCTCAATGGGTGGGCACGTTACATCTGCGTGAATGCACAATGAGACAAAAAAGTAAGCAAGGTATTGCGACATTTGCCCCTGGTATTATAGTACTGCAAGTTGCGATACGGCCATGAGCTCGATATACTAATAACAAGTGGCCCAAGAGCTTTGCACAGGGATATCACGATATCACGTGGAAGAAGTGTTCACGCAGTGTGAGGCACCCTTAAAGAAAAAAAAGATGCACACACAAAAAAGTAACCTCTCCCACGTTCTTCCCAGAAATGTATCTGCCCCAGATCACCTCTGAACCATTCGGCCTACTATTGTTTTGTAGGCCCTGCCTTACTTTAATACCACAAGAAAAGGAGAGTGAATTCTGGTGTATTCTGACACCATATCAAAATTATACGCTCAGAAGGCAAATTATTTGAATATATAAGCAAAAACGAGCAGCGGCGGAGCTTCTGGTTCAGACATTTAACGCATTATAAAACTTATTTTGCAATAAAATTTGCCTCAGTATTATCTAAATATTCTTGTCCTTTCCACTCTGCAATTTTTCAAGTAAATCAGTCATTACGATTGGTTTTAGAGCATCTCGCTGTCAACATTCGTGACATTGCTTTCGTTAGGCTGGTCGTAACATACAACTATTCACCTCCTCTAACAAGCAACTGTACACGGGACGAATCACAGATTGACGCATTCAAAATGGCTGCTGGACTCGTATTTCAATTGCACACGAGAGCCTCGTCACTGTTGCATGCATTTTCCGGCGATCCTGGTCTTTCGCTTCTTTTATTCAAGACGGAATAATCAATTCGCTGTTTACGGAAACGAAGGCAGAACACCAGAGAGAAGACCTTACCTCTGACTCTGACGTGAATCTCGTTGGTCTGCCCCCGAGGCGTCGTGCAAGTGTACGTCCCGGAGTCGTGCTCTTTCGCCTTGTAAATGAGCAGCTCGTAGCGCCACTGTTTCTCGTCGGCCGACAGGATCCAGCCCTTGGCGTAGTCTCTAAATGAGCCCAATAAATGTTCCCCATCACGGCCTGTTTGACGTCCGGACGTGAAAGGAAGCGAACGGGCATGTATAGAAAGCGAGTGAAAGAAATAAGAACCACGTCGCGTGTTCTCTGAACCCGGAGCACAGGGTGAATTTTCAATGAGCCAGCGGCGGCGCCGGTGCAAACATTAAGCGCGCAGTGCGGAGAGAGTAAGGCCTGACCTTTTACATATGTGCACTGAAATTCGGTGGTTCCTCGCGCGGCTGTGATTCGGAGCAGACTATTCGAGCGAGTGCGCCCTTAAAATTCTTCCGCGGTGATGGGATTGGAGAAGCATGGTGAAAAAGGAATAAAAACGAAACAAAAACTCGAGAGCGTCCCGACAGGAAGGAGTGATGCGTCTATAGCGAAAGCCGGTAGAGCAGCTCGCGCTGTCGAGCTTCGAATAAACTTGTTCATGGCGGAGAGCGCACTTTGCCACATAAAATGTAGTTGTGAGAAGAAACATTTGTCAACACGTTTTTTTTTTTTATCTTGAGGAAACTGTAACTTTGTCTAACTAAAAAAAATTGAAGCAGAAATAATCAACCAATCATTGCCGATGTCAGCGACTGCTTTTGTTTAACCCCCTGTGCATGTTAGCGCCATTCGGAAATTACGAAGCCTTGTGAATACACAAGGAGCCTCACTGAATATCAATCTTGTTGCCTATAAGAATGTTTAATGGCACCACGAAATATGATATCTTGTTATTACAAAATTTTAGTGAAATCTGCAGCAAAGTACTCCTATATGTTCCCTCCTGAATCTTTCCTTGATGGTACACGTCTTGATTTGTATTTAGGTTTTGTATTTCAAAAAACACCCTTTGCCCGTGCTTACTCTATATATTTCGAGTATACTGGCCACAACGTTGTTGTAAAGTGATCAGTTTATCATACTTGAAGCTGCTTGCTTCTTGTGTTAGCTGGGCGCATCCTTTCTGGAGTAGCGGTCATCAGCGCATGCCTATTGAGGCACACTCAGTCCTACAAAAGGGACGGTTTGATCCCCTGTCTTTTTGTGTAATTCCGGTAGTAAGTTTTCTCCACTTGTACTAAAGTAATGAGAAAAAACAACTGAACCGTGCTTCTGCTCGTTTTATGCTTCTTAGACGACTGGACTTGGGGCATCGCTTTAAAGTTGCCGCAATATATGCGGACTGACACTTTGTCTTATTATCTCTTTCATGAGTCTCTCAATCACATGTACCGTTTTTTTCAGAATATAAAAGCGGGCTACAAGAAAAATAACCCAATTTTACGCCAGCAGGGGTTAGGACTAGTCCGCCTGCCGTCTCGGCAAGCTGTACGGTGGTGTCCGAGAGCCGAGCTGAGTAGCACAGCCTCCCACTAGTCAGCAGTAGTGATTTTGCAGCACTGAGGAGCCGACCACCCATGCACAGGATTATGTGGTGTATGGCATATTCGTCCTTTTATATAATTTAAAATTGGACCAAGATTGGTCAGGAGAACAGAAACTGAAAGTCACATGGTTAACCTACATGCAAAAACGTCGCCCCCCCCAAATAAAAACTGTCCAGCTGGTCAATAACGACAGATAATAGAGGCACAATTACAAGAAGAAGCGTGTACAATTAAACAAATGAAAAGCAAACGCTATTTGAAGAACTTAGCAAGATCGACAAACAAGAGTCGTTATTCTGAAAGCACAGCAACGCTCACCGAGAAATTACGCGTCCAGCCCGTGAATCAATATCACAACACAAACCAGTCACTCATATGTCTGAGGCGTTAGCGAAATCAGGGTCACTATGCCTGTACAGAAAAAAAACGACATCCGAGTGACTCGCAAGCCTACGACCACATGCTCTCAAAAAAAGAAAGGGGGGGGGGGGCTTTAGTATAGGGAAGGCGAGGGCTTCGACGACCCCGTATCCCACCCGACCCCGATGGCGCCTATGCGAACCACATGATCCTTTGTCCGCTGCCTCTGTCTTCGGGCAGGCGACCGTGTGTTGGAAAGAATAAACAGTGTAAACAATTTGCATGGCTAGACACCCACCGATTGAATGAGTTTTTATGCGGGTCTCCAGTTATTCTGTTATTTGCGCTCGTCTTCTTGTTCTTTGTCGTCGTTTTGAGCTCGCGCAATAACAATCTCCAGTTATTCGTGTTTTGCGCGTCCTAATAATTGCTCTGGGGTCGGTTGCTCAACTCCTACAAAACTCACCCGCAACACGGTGGTATAAAAACTTCATTTTTGGTAAAAACTTCATTTTCGCAACACGGTCTTACTCAATGAGCGCAAGGCCTTATGAGAAAGAGCGACGGAAGCAATGAATAGCCGCCGTGCGTTGGGACAGACGAGCCGCCCCGCATTGTGCGAGTTAATGCGTCACTCTTGTTCTCTAGCTTTCATTCTGCCGTATCGTTGCTGGTTGGCTGCACTCGATGATGCTGACACTCGTGAATGATGAAAGTTGTCGTTTCCTAACCACGTGTTGGTTCGCTTCGACCACCGTGCAAGGGCACTTCACTCGAGCATTGTGTATCTGTTATTTACACGAATAGGAATGCAGCAATCATTGACTTCAGAAAGGACAAGCAGCGATTTAGACCACGCATTTTTAATCAAAACAAATCAGATGCCCACCACGAGCTCAACCTAATATCTCGGCCTTGTTATGCTGATCTTCGCGAAGCTTCTATCATATATATTCACCGGCTTGACGATTCACTCCACCTAGACAGCAGCGCTGACGATTAGTTCTCCTTCGCAGTAAGAAGTTCTCCCATGTTTCCTCGGCGACCCTCTTCAAAACCTGTCACTGCTCCCTCGGCGTCATCTATAGATACTTTTAAACAGTCTGATTGACCACACTACAACATCAAGCACGTTACCTCTTGTCGAGCGAACCACGCCATCCCTTGAGCAACAGACTTCAGTAACTGACTCCTCACTGACTGACCCTCCGTCCGCGCCACACGCTTGAGCTGGGCCAGGAAGCAAGATTCGTGTAGACGTAGCACAGTGAAAGCTATGGCGAAAGAGCCACATCCTTCACACAGATTACTCGGGGGAATCAGATGGGGCCGCTTCGGTTTCTTGAGTTCTCCCGATCTTGTGCGGTGTTGGGGCTCGACGGTTAGGAGGCCACCACCACTGCCTTCAATTCGTTGAGACCAGGTCCGACCGGTCTTAACTGGCAGCTTGCCCTTGTCACGGGAACCATCTTCTGTAGTGAGGAAATGTATTAGTGGGCAGGACAAACGGAGGTTTATTTACGTCTCCTGAGGACAAAGAAGAAGAAGAGGAAGATGTACAACAGTTTTCGGCTTATAAATACAGCCGTCGGACAACCCTGAGGCACACGGTGTTCGCAGCGCCAGCCAATGTATGGCCCGACGACCTGGTGGTGAGGATTAAAGCAAAAGCGTCCACCACCCATTGCCTCTATCAGCGAATCTGTTCGCCCAACTTTTTTGTATGCCTCGTTGTTAGTGAGACAATTCTAGGCCTCGCACAACACTCATCTGTGTATCTGCCGAGCACATATATTCACATGAGCGTCATCTTGAAGTAGGTTAACCTGGTGCTGACTAAGCTGGAAGAGATTGGAACTAACGCGAAGGCAGAATTCCCTAAAATGTTTTCTCTTGTCACGACAGAGTGGCGAAGTTCGGAGGGAAGTGCGAGATTCCACGGGTGGTATAGGAACACAGAAATACCGGAAAAACTACGATTGCAGTTCTGCGGAAGAATACTATAGGCGAGTGATTTTGTACGTAGATGACCTGAAATCTTCCCTCAAAAGGCGCTTTGCAAACCATCACAAAACACTGCAAAGTTTGCAATTGGTGTTGCCAAAGCACGCCAAACTTGAATCTTTGTGACCAGCATTCGAGTTTCACGTGAGAGACATGACAACAGATAATACCCTTACACAAAAAGGTGAAGGTGAAATCTGGAAAACTAAATGGCAAGCCATGCAAGAGGACGAACTTGTGCGCTTTGCTACGGACGCTTCAGCTGAATGCCACAAAGCCCATCCTCCCGAACAAGCCCATCCTCTCGATCTCAAGATATTCTAACGCTCCCAGTCAGTATACAGCTGCTGTAGAACACAGTTTCTCGACACTGAAAAGGGTGAAAACGTATTGGAGGAACCGAACGGCTGAGGAGCAGCTTAATAGTCTGTCCCTACGTCCGTTCACCTGATACAAAATCAGTGTCAACGAAGTTGTCGCTTTGTTTAAGGAGAAAACGTGATGCATGACTATTGTAGCGCGAACCACTCTCTTCAGCTAGCTTACATGTTGTTGTTTTTTCTTTTGCAGTGACCTTGACTATATTGCTAAATGCATGTTGACATTGTGTGGGACGATGCGCATGTGTGCCTGACGAAGAGGACGAAGGGTGGTCTCCGCTGAGTATCTGGTCAACCGGTCACGCCATTGCTGCTGGTTTGAAATATATTTCATCCACAGCCTCGTCGATACGGCGTCCCTTCTCTTCCGTAGCATATTCGGTGGAGGTGGAACGTTCCCCGTCCTCATCATGAAGCTTCGCAGTGGCCGCACCGCCCAGCCTCCGGCCATGGCTTCCAATCATAACAACCCGTCACCACCTTCAGCTGGAGCGTCAGCTACTACGTACCTTGCGATGTCCCACCCCGGTGATCCCGGTAAGTTCTTCGCCTAGCCTGGCCTTGACGTCGACTACTGGCTCCACATGTACGAGCGAGTTAGCCTGTCTTACCGATGGGACTCTACCATGATGCTCGCCAACGTAATCTTTCACTTGGTGGCACCCCGCGTGTATGGTTCGACCCTCATGAGGCCGAGCTCACCAGCTGGGACATTTTCAAGGAACGACTACGCGACATCTTTGGGGACTCGTCCGGTCGGCAAATGGCCGCACGACAAGAACTCGCCACCCCTGTACAGTCATCAACCGAGTCGTATGTCTCGTACATACAGGACGTGCTCGCGTTGTGCCGCAAAGTGGA